AACCCAGCAGATTTGGGTTCCTCGAACCCAGCAGATTTGGGTTCCTCGAACCCAGCAGATTTGGGTTCCTCGAACCCAGCAGATTTGGGTTCCTCGAACCCAATTTGCTGGGTTCCCGTGGAACCCAGATCTACTTGGTTCGGTGAACCCAGATCTGCTGGGTTTCGAAACCCAGCAGATATAGAGGAAGAAGAGGAAGAAAGAAGAGGAAGAAAGAAAAAGAAAAAGAAGAAAGGAAGAAGATGATCGAAAGAGGGGAAGAAGATGGATCAAAAAGGGGAGAGGGGTAAATTTGTAATTTTCTATTTTTTTATTAAGGCAAAATTGGTTGATAAGTTGGCAGTGAGTTGGCATAAAAAAAAATTCCAGATCAACGTTTTTTAAAATTATTTTTGCCACATCATAAAAAAAATTATAAAAAATGTCACATAAGCGAGTTAACGGCCCGAATTAACAGAAGGACTAACGGAGTGCATTTCGTATAGTTAAGGGATAAAAAAAGTGCAAAAAATTGTTGAGGGACCAAAAATGTGCAACTCATTAAAGTTGAGGGACCAAATTTAGCATTTAACCTTGATTCTAAGAAAGCAATTATAAGGAAACATCGTAATAAACTAAAGGGACTAATTGTCATTGACTAACATTAAAAAAGAGCTTTTAGACATTATAAAGAATAACGAGTAGAGCTAAAGCAAAAACCAAGTCTTTTCCAAACCGCGTCAATATTAGCTGGAAAGCAATTCAAATTAATTATTTATGATTATCAAGACTTTGACTAATCAAAGATAGGCATGTATATGTGTTTGGTCCTACCTTGAAATCTTTAGACCAAAAACCTTTTAGCATATAAATACAATATTTCACTAGACGAGATCTAATTGATTATTATTTTTTTTTTTTTGGCTACTTTCAGATTTCTTTGAAACCCTTATATAAAGTATGCAAACTAAACTAAAGCAAGGCCCAAGAACATTATCAAAACAAAAGAAATCAAAATGACGAAGACCTGATTGAGTTGACACTAATATCCAAGTCATCGTTAACACCTTGGTGTTCAAGTTGTAAAACAGCTTCTTACCTTCTTTTTTTTTCCCTGGTGTTTAAGACTTTGTCAAGGCTTTGTCAATGCCCGATCTGGGTTTGGTGACCGAGCCCAGAGGTCAGAGAGAAAGAAAGAGAAAGGAAGAAGGGAAGAAGATGGATCGAGAGGGTGAGGGTGAGGGTGAGGGTGATAAAGTCATTTTTGTTTATATAATATAATTATAAGATATATTATTGTCATGTCATCAAAAGATTTAAAAAAATATACCATGAAATTATTTAATAGTCACGTCATGGTTAATTGACAGAAAAATTAAAATTGTGTATTTTTTAAAGTTAAGAGATGAAAAAAATTAAAAAATAAAAAAAAAATAAAAAAAATGCAAATAGATAAAGTTAAAGGACTAAAATTAATATTTAAACCTTAATAAAAAGGCTAAGGATGCACTCTTTAAGTAGGACTTTAAAACAAATGTTTTTTTAACATTTGCTAAACACCTTTAGCATATTTGAGAAGAGCCTTTAAAAAAAAAAATTCAAATACTTGCATTATAACAGGAGTAGTGGGGTGAGCACAGAGCAAACATTTTTCATTATGACCTTCATATAATATTAGAAGAGACTAGTGGATCATCATTAACCATAGAATATGCATAATAACATAATTTTTTGTTTAGCTAGGAATTGATTCTACGAAAGCAATTACAAGGAAACATCTTAAATTAATGCGACTGATTTTCATTGACTAACGCTGAAGAAGAGCTAGTAAGTGGAATCAACACTGCAAATGCAATGATTCTTTTGAGTCTTTTAGACATTATAAAGAACAACAAGTAAAGCTAGAAGCGAAAACAAAGTCTTTTCCAAACTGCGCATCAATATTAGTTGGAAAGCAATTCAAATTAATTATTTATGATCATCAAGACTTGACCAATCAAAGATAGGCATATACATGTGTTTGGTTCCCACTGCCTTTGACACTAGGATTAAGACGTATAATGTTTCTTTTAGGATTCTGCTTTTGTTCTTCTCTCTTGTTTGTGAATTGGTATTCATTCCAAGGAAAAAGTTCATATATTAATTGAAGATTACAATGAAAGAGAAACTAAGTTAATGTTTATTATTCCCTTCCTTCATTACAAATAGACCTAAAGGATTCACCTTTTAGCATACAAATGCCATATTTGATTAGATGAGACTTAATTGGTTAATCTTTCAGGCTACTTTCTGACTTCTTTGAAACCCTTGTATAAAGTATGCAAAACCAGACTAGAGCAAGGCCAACTAACATTATCAAAACAACAAATCTCACAATGACAGGATATTAGATATTTATTTTGAACAAAAATGTATATAAAGAACACAATGAATTATCTTAATACAATTATTTATCATAATAAGAGCAAAAGAATTTAAATCATAGCACTAAATCTTCATTGTTGTCATGACAAAAATTTTCTCATCTTCAGTTATTAGGATTTGATGTTCAATTGTTGAAATTAGGAGATTTCCTACTACTAAGGACAAAACTTTTCAGTATTTTTGTAATCAAGGATACGACCTTTATTTTATTAATCAAAACTAGTATTTTTGAAAATTTATAATTAAGGATATAATCTCTGTAATTTAACTAAAAAAAATTAAGTAAATATGCACAAGTTTATATATGATTAAAAAAATTTTTAGAAGATTGATGGTAATTTTAATTAGTAAAAAAAACACCATTTCTTTTAAGCAAAAAAATTATAATTTTATTGCATTAATAATAATTATAAAACTATTTTAAATATAGATCATTAAATAAATAATTTAAAAATTAAATGAAAACAAATCTAAACCTACTACATTGCGTCACTAAACAAGGAATTTGTTTAGGGTATGATTGAGGCTGAGAACTATACATGAGTTGTGGATATATTTACACTTAAATTCATTAGAGTTATACAAATTATGAAATTTTTATTTAAATTTAACAAAGTTGCACAAAAGCGCTAACACCTAAGTAGTGCTTAAAAGGACAATAAAATGTAATTTATAAAATATAGCATTTTATTTTAAATTAAAATACTAAAAGTTACAACAATTCTACCTCTATTTTAATAAAAAAAATAAACAAATTATTTTGAACAAAGATGTATTATTATGCATAATAAATATAACTAAACTTTGAAATTCTATTTAGTGAGTTAGCAATTCATATTCCAGAGTTAATAGTATACTAAATCTTGAACTATGATGCATAAAAGGATACAAGAATCGCATCACACATAATGATTCAAGTGTTGAGTTTTTCATACAATTAGCATAATATGGCATTGTGCATGATCCCAATTGTCATGAGTAGACTAGAAAATTGCACATACAATTTATACGGAAATGACTTTACTACGACACCCACATAGATCAAATCCATTAACATTGCCCCCATAACTCGGGACACTCCACACAAAACAAGCTACAAGTTTATTAAGAGTTTTAGAACTCAACCATGTAACATTGTAGGATAGGTACATTTAAATCTTAGGGATGGACACTTGAGCAAGAAGCTCGAGTGATATATTTTCACAAATGATCTCCCTATAATTCATTTTTCTCATTTGAACCTATTTTTAAAGAAATATTACTTGATATAAGTCTCCAAAAATTATTGCATGCAAAATTTTGACTATGAGTTGGGTATCCTTAGAGGAGATTATAGGTTTCTTAGACCAAGTCTTATCCCTTTGATGTACCCTACCCTAGATCTTGGACCATGCACAGTCTTTCCTTTGACCTTTTACCTAATGCCTAGTTTGTGTTACAGTAGGTGCTAAAAATTTAATCTTTTTTTTCAATTACACTATCCACAAATCTTCACTAGGTCATTCAAATGCATCACTTCCATTTTCATAAATTCTCATTAATCCATTGCTATGATTTCAAAAGTCAAAGTATTGAGCGAGTAACCACCACTTCATAACATACAGCAATATGTGTATTTTTTTGTTTACTTTTTAATTTAGACACTATTGTATAGGATTGTCTCACATGGTATATCCCTTTTGTTCAAGTAAGGTGTCTAATAATTATTTATTTTAATCATGCACTATTATACCATAATTGTATAATAGAAGTGCATAGTACATTTGCTCACTTAAGCACCATTGTACATTATGGTCTACTAGGAATGCATATATCACATGTATTTTATTGTATGGGCACCATTATACCTTATTGCCTAATAGGAGTACTATATAAAATTTCAATTAGGCACCATTAGTCTCACCACCAATAATACTACAAAAAGGATACCTCTTCTTAAAAATTTCTCCATCCATATGCAATCTCCAATGGTGGAAATATCTCAAATATGCAATTTTTACATTTTTCAAATAATTGAGTTTATATAAAAAAAATATATATTTCCTCATAATATTTTTTTATAAGAACTTATTAGCTCATTTCATATATACAAATGGCTCACTTCATATATAATTGATCACACAAGTTTAAAAAGTTAGATTACATACCTGCAATATACGATCCGATAATTTTGTCAAAATGCATGGACCATCTATATAAGAAAAAAAAATTTATATGGAATTGATCTCATACCTTTTTTTGATAAACTCAACAAAGCATAAAATTTCAATTTTTTTGTATAAATATATGAAGTTTCGGAGCAGCTTCTCAACAAAGCATATAATTTCATTTTTTTTTTTTTTATAAATATATGAAGTTTAGGAGAGCTAGCTGCTTTGATATGAGAAATATTAATGCTCTTAAATTATACAGTAATTATAATGCAGCATACATACTTAGAGACTACAAACTTGCATTAGCAAATTTAAATATATAAAAAAATGATAGATCAATAGATTTACATTTTGAAAAATTTCTTCTAACTATTGGAAATATGTCACTAATTAAGTATTACATTAAGAGTATTAGAACACGTATTTTACATGTATTGCTAAACGCAAAATATTAAAAAAGGCAATATATTGCATCCTCTTCGTCCTTATTTAGCTCTTAGAAAATATATTTTATAAATATCATATCAATATTTCAATGAAAACATATAATTCAAACTACTAGTACCATACATACAAACATAACCAAGTAATTAAACTACATACCCAAATCTGATCTCAATATCTCTCAAGTAATTAAGTATCAAAAAGAGTTAGATAAGCAAGATATACTTATTTTTTATGCGGATTGAATCATTTTGAA